AAGGAGTCAACTGCCCTGCCCGACATGCTGTCCGTACAAGTAAGTGTAATCCTTTCCTTTCCTAAATCAAGGGTCAACTTAGATCATTGGTACACGCGACAAGTCCTACCTCGAACAGTAAAAGTATTCATTTCCGCGCTTGTGCAGCTGCATGCGCTCGCCATCAAGTTTCTCTTCGATGATGAATTTATGTCCTTGCATTTCTTTCACCGAATCCTCGATCTTATGGGTTGGTCTTTTACACAGCATCGGTGCGAATGCACGGAACAATTGAATGGATTTGTCCTATGTTACATCAGCTCTGAAATCCTCAACGAACAGGAAAAGTTGTACCTCAGCATTCAACCTCCTTGAAGGATCCCATAGCTCCCAAGCAACCTTCTTGAGGTCGGAACAGATGTTGAATAGATCTTGTGCATCTGGATGGAACACGCCAAAGACAGTCGTTTCCTTCACAGAAATAACCATGTCTTGGAAAGTTGATACATGATTGGAGCCATGATGGAAGGGAACAACATGCCTTTCAAAATATGTGTACAATCCATCGCTGTTCCTCAGCAGTAGCACGATTGTAAATACGCTGAAGAATTCTGGACTGAATGTCCCGTGAGCGGTCATTAGCCAGAGAGTATGTAAAATATCGTCGTCCGTACGCTTGCCCATGTTCTTGGACAAGTCATCCAGGACTTCGTTCAATCATGGACCGACAGGCTTCCCTCGACGACCGGAGGACCGCTTGCTCACAACCTCGTACAAAACTGTGGGGAAGTCGCCAGAGCTCTTCTAAAGGAAAGCTCAACGAATGTGTTTCAAGTCACGGAATACGATATACAAACATCTTTTTCGGTGGGCTTCTTCCAGTTGAGCAAGCGGATCGCATCCGGATCTCTTATGCCGAGTGGGATCAGTTTGATGTAGGTCTTGGCAAGGTCTTCTCCTTCAGGCCATACACAGCGCGCTCACGGTCTTTCTGCTCACATGTTCAGCTTACCCAGATTATTGTTTAAGTGACAGCAAACGTGCCTGTGGAAGGATCAGGCGGAGAACGGGATAAAGATCATGTCCAATTTCTTCTCTCCAATGCTGACACCACACAAGCGTCAGGACTGGTGTTGTTCGTATGGACAAAGACATACGTTGAACCAGACATCTAAGAGTCGCCGTCTTCGTTCGGGCTTTCTTTCTGTCGATAATTTCTCAAATAGCCCGGCTAGTACTGAAAAGGGAGCACTGCCATTGTTTTGCGGGGGAGGTGGGTAGGGTGCAGTTTTCTCCATCGTGAATCGGTTCTGGTGAGCCTGGAGGTGATGTCAGTGCGGGTGTAGGCTGCATCATTATGCTAGAAAATCAAGAAAAGAAAGATGTTGTTCTTGAATGTAGTAGTACTTGTCTGCAAATCCTAGTAGTGTCAGGGGATGGTGGAGGTTCGCAGCAAGAAAGTCAAAACGCGTGACTCGAACTAGCGAGAGCGTGTTATTTGTTTCTATTTGGCTACTCTTTGCCCTCGGCTCAGAGTCTGCGGCGCTCACTGGCAGCTTCGTCTGTCAGCCTCCCGATACTCCTCCTTATTAACCACTATGGACGACGACGATTATCCAAGGCTTCCGCGGCGGAATCGCAGCGAGGATGACCCAAAGATGATTGGACTATGGAAAGTTGGTAGGACTATTGGCAAGGGAAGCTCAGGTATTTATCTAGGTTGCTGCAAAACTATGCGCTTTCACTGATCCCAACTAGGCCGCGTGAGGATCGCACGACATTCAAAAACAGGACAATACGCCGCAGTAAAAATTGTGTCCAAAAACATCCTTATGAACTCTATCACCAAGCTCGTCGACTCCGCGGAGCATATGCTTCTCAGCATCGAGCGCGAAATCGTGATCATGAAGCTCATCGACCATCCAAACATAATGCACCTCTACGACGTGTGGGAGACCTCCAGCGAGCTCTATCTTATTCTCGAGTACGTAGAGGGTGGCGAGCTCTTTGATTATCTATGCAACAAGGGGCGGCTATCCACCCTTGAAGCATTGGGCTATTTTCAGCAAATCATCTCCGCAATCGACTATTGCCATCGACTCAACATTGCGCATCGAGATCTGAAGCCTGAGAACCTTCTCATGGACCAAAACAAGAATATCAAGGTTGCAGACTTTGGTATGGCAGCTTGGCAGGCCAGCTCCAAAAACGGATTACTCCAGACGGCATGTGGAAGCCCTCATTATGCGGCCCCGGAGGTCATCATGGGAAAGGAGTACAATGGACGCGCTTCTGATATCTGGTCTTGTGGCGTGATTCTATTTGCCTTGCTTGTGGGACGCCTTCCGTTCGATGATGAGGACCTACCAACACTGCTGGATAAAGTCAAGTCAGGAAAGTTTGATATGCCATCCGGCATCGATCTCTTGGCCAAGGATCTTATCACGAAGATGCTGCAGAAAGACGTTGTGATGCGTATCACGATCCCTGAAATTCTCGCTCACCCGTTCTACCTTTCTCAAAAGCCAAAGTCTGTCGATGCAAGCACGCCGAGGCTCACCGATATTGCGAGACCTCTCTCTGATCTTGAAGACATTGATCAAGACATCCTCGCGAACCTCCGCACGCTTTGGCACGGTACATCTGAGGGAGACATCAAAGCTAGCCTCAAGAGCTCCGAGCCAAACTGGCAGAAAGGTGTTTACCGACTGCTCACTGAATATCGGGACAAACACTTGGAAAATTATGACGAGGAAGAGGAGATGGTGCACAGAAAGACACGCAAGAAGAAATCAACCAGGAATGACCCTCAAGGCATGACCAGGACAACATCCCAAACACCGTACCTGGCACGCGCGCCTTCATTTCTTCCTCCTCGCGCAGCTCCTCCGACCCCGCGTAGGGCAGCTGGTCGCACGCTCCCTCTGCACAATGACGATAGCGACTACGTACAACTAGGCGCTCCTCATATAACTCTTTCTTCGCCGACACCTCCACGTCCAGGGGCTGATCTCCGCTCTCCTTTGTCGTCATATATCACATCTCTAACATCGCCCTTATCACCTACGCTCGGTTCTACAAATTTGCCCGCGATTGAAGTGCCGGAACTCAAGGATGATAAGATGCAGCATTTCTTCCAGCAAATCGTGGAACATCTTAATGCAATGGAGGCGCGCACTGCAGGCACGCCCCGTCCTGGTCTTGGCAATACCTCAGCTCCACCCACACCGGTTAACATGGAATTCGGCAAGCGTCAGAAGGACAATGCTGTGCAGACCAGAGGCTATTCATCGCCCCAGGAGATCATATCTGACGCAGATATGAGGCGCGAACGACGAAGTCAGTTCGGAGAGATTGACAAGGAAAATATATCTCTCAGTGTCAGTGGACCCGGAATCATCAAGAAGTCGTCTCTGCGGAGCAACGATGGTGACAGACGGCCTGCGCTCCATGTGCAAATCATCGAGCCACCGCCGAACAAGCTACGCAAGAAGGGCGGGGGCGACACCCCAGCCGCTGTCTCGCCCGCATTTTCTGACAGCTCGTTTACTCTTGCCTCGACGCCGCGACGGCGTTGGCTTGATAGTGTTTTCAGGTTCAAGCCAGTAACATACCAGCTTCTGTCTACGCACGACGGATTCACATCACGCGAGGAGTGCCGTCGAATGCTGGTGAACATGGGCGTCCGCGTGGTCCTCACGCATGCAGAAAATTCAGGCGTACTCAAGTGCAGGACGGATGAGACGAAGGACCCGTCTGGACTTTTGCCGGCGCTAAAGTCGGTGCGGTTCCGCGTGGAGGTGCAAAGACCAACGCCTGTGCAAATCACTGCTGGATATCAGGTCGTACTACATTTGATACAGGAGAGGGGTGCGTCGCCAAGCTTCCAGGTGATTTATCAAAGGCTGAGAAGGAACTGGGAGCTGGATATTCCACGAATGTTGATGACACCAAATAGTCCACTTTTCAGCCCCACAGAAACCGAGATGGGAGGATACGAGTTTAGCGAGAGGTTGGTGTACGCCGATTAGCTTGCACGATCTGTAGGACATATAAAATTATTTTATGGTAGATACCGCCAACACTGATATTCAAATTTTGTGCCTTGGCTATGACAGTGGACCATCCATCATCACCATCGTACTTGCGAACCGCGATGGTGGTTCGGTGAGGAGCGTGTCGTCACGATCAGTGACCATGGCTTCATCGATTGCTTGTGGATGAACTGATTCTTTGAGGGAATGGTGTTTCCCTTGTTTTGATACGACTGCAGACATAGAATCTACACTGCTGATTCGGATGAAACGTAGGAGTTGGATGTAAGCAACTTCCGTCTGGTCCCATTTGCGGAATAGCTCAACGGTAGCTTCATGCGTAAGATCAGGCACATCTGCACAATATGATCAACATAGGCAAGGAAGTATGATACTCAATCTTACCCATTCCTGTGCGATATTGTTCTGATTCACGGAGCTTGATCTCCTCCAGCTTCAACTCCTTGGTACTTTTCGGTCGGCCCTTGCGGCGAGCAGCTCTCTCCTGCTCAAGCTCATCGTCGTAGCGTGTTAACCATACATTACTAATGATGGAATGTAGCTCTTCGAGGGAAAGCGTGCCTTCTGGAGGTATAGCATGGTAGAAAAATCCGTATAAATCGGCTGAGGTCCACCGCATAAGACGCGTGACATCAATATAACATAGGATACGCACCCTGAGCAGAGTGTTTCTTTGTTCGCTTTGATGCTGCGTCCGCGAGTTTTGCTTTTCGCAGCTGCACCCGGCTCAGTTGACCGGCCTTGCGGGAGTCTGGGTGAAAGACTTTTTCTTTCTTTGACCTCGAGGTGCTTCTGGGTGTTTTTGAGGGAGCCATGAAGGTAAGCTGCCGCAGTCGGACTTTCTCTGAGCACGGATATAATAATATCTATTTCCTTTCCGGGATTTCTGTCCCTTGGAAGTGCCCCCCGCCGAATTCAAGCCAGGAGGCCTGTAAGTCAAAATTACTCATCTGGTCATAGCGGTAGATCTAATGCTCTTCAAACAGGCGTTGACCTCATGTCATCTAAAGAGGCAGACAGAATTAGTGCTGCTCAGCAGACCCTTGACAGTGTGTTATCGAAGTTGCACGTGCGCCGTATTGCACCCTCATGAATGCGGTTCACAGCCCTCTATGAGATCTCGCAGCTGCTTAATACACAGCTTGATAAGGAGACACTCGCGACATGTGTGGGTATGATCGAGAGTGGTGTCAACCCGGAGGCCCTTGCAGTATGCTAATGTCCGAGTGGTCTAAAAGCAAGTTTTGGGACTGACAATTACCCATGCAGGCTGTTATTCAGGAGCTGCGGCGTGAAGCCGCTGCTGTACAGAACGCACACTCTGATGTGCGTTGAATTGATAGCATGACACGTAAAAGTTCTCATGCGCTCGACGGCCGTCGGGTCCGAGTGCATGTAGTATCAGGTCTTTTTTTATCGTGGTTGTTCAAGCAGGGTCCGGAGCAGTTCTGCCACCTACTGAGCTCGCCCCTTCTAGCAAACTTCAGGCTTGATATGTAACTTGGCTTGTTCTGAATGTAACTATCTTGTAGACTTGTAAGAACGCGTTTGAGCCAGTTTGAACTCAGTTTGATGACATGCCGTTGCTGCCGCGCCAGTTCAGTTGATCAAGAAACGGAGAGCTTTGGCAAGCGTTAAATTTATACCACCGCAAGGCAATTTCGGCCACTCTTCTTACTAGTGGCTTTCATCATCAACTTCCTCGACGTCCAAGCACTGTTCACGACGACCGCGCAAGCTTACTGACACTCTTTTTCTTCTTGACGCCCGCTTCTCCCAAGCATGCAGCCTTCACAGTTGGAGATTCAGCGCGAGGTTGAGGCTTTGCGAGACATAAAGCGGCGTTCTACAGCACAAGGCGGTCCAGGTGCTCTTATTCTTGATCCTGATCTTCCGAACCCATCGTCTCCAACTTCACCAACATCCAACTACTGGACTGGCACTGCACCCCAGCAGTTACCAGATGGTGACTCCAGCAGCGGCTCTCACGAAGGCAGCTCTAGCTCAGAGGAGCGAAGCGCGGGCTTAGATGATCCTTTCCATCTTTTCTGGGTGCCAGCTCGTCTTCATCCCGAAATCGATCCGGGCCAGTTTAGCGCTTTTCTCAAAGAACACGCACGTACTCCACCCCCAGATGGCACTGCTGGATCTCTTCGATCAAATTCTTTGAGCATTCCTTCCACAGGTTTGGGACGCAAGCGTTCAATGCTCAGCAGGCAGTACAAGCCATCAGAGAATGACCAGGTCGAGGACGAGGATGAGAAGGTCGTCCCTTCTCGCCCAAATCGCACACCTCTCGCAAATGCACCACAACTTACTATCAGCGACTTACAAAGGCTAGAAACACTGGCAGAAGAGGCCTCAAAGAGTGACGATCCTACAAAACTTAGAAACGTGCTCAGGCGAAGTTTAAGCCTTAATGTATCTCCTTCAGGTCAGTATGCAGAATAACTTCCGGTCGTCCCTGGCATCTGCTCAAGGCCCTTGTCTTCAGCCATGGACAGGATGGACGATATTCCTGACATGCCAGATGAGGCCGATGCACCTATCATCGTTCCTCCTCCCGGCCTAATTCTCCGTCGAGCTGCGCGCACTAAGATCCGGAAGACTACCTTGCCCGGTGATGGTGGTGGCCATCGGTTTGGGTCCGGACGCAGGCCTCGTGCTGCCACACAGGGAGAACCACGTACCTCCAGTGATCTGTCTTCCAGTGATCACGTCTCATCAAGTGATCATGGTGATGTCACAGAAACAGGTAGACGACCTCGTGCACTTTCTAACGAAAGCATAACAAGTGATGGCCATACTTCGCAAACTGACGTGCTCATAGATGAAACACTCATCCTCGAAGCATACCTCTGTGATGTACCTGATGGTGAAGCCCTTTCAACCTCGTCGCTAAACTCCGACGCCCCATTATTATCATTTTCCCCAGCACATAACGAGCCTACACCGACCCAAACTGAATCTAGCCTGGATGCCCCCACCAATGCGATAGTTTTGCATCACCCTCAACCCCAGAGGCTTACTCTGACCGCCCCTTCTGAAGAATCGTCTCGGACGCCGTCCCCTGATGCACCTACCTTAGCATCATCTACCGAAGCTATAGCAGCATCCAGCCTCCCCCAGAAGACCCCAAGTCTTGTGCCGAAGAAGGAGAAAGACCGCAAGGGGCTGTTCAAATGGGGCAGCGACAAAGGCGGGAAGAAGAACGGCAAGGACAGGGAACGTGAGAAGGAAGTGCAGCGAGCAGAAAAGGAGAAGGAGGGCGGGTTCTTCGGGTCCTTGTTCAGCAGCAAGAAAAAGCCCGACGAACAGGCATCTCAGGCGCATCCATACGGGTCTGGGCGAGAGGCTGCTACTGCCTTGCTTGGCCAGTCAAAATCCTCAAAACAGTATGTTCCCTCGCCATCGCCACAACTGCCCGGCGGGCAGGGCATGTATGCTCGATATCCCATCCACGTAGAGCGCGCGATCTATAGACTAAGTCATATTAAGCTGGCAAATCCTCGAAGGCCGCTGTACGAGCAGGTTCTCATCAGCAATCTGATGTTCTGGTATCTCGGTGTCATTAACAAGACGCAGAACACTGCAGCGACTCCTGTAGCGCAAAATCAGCCAGCCGCTACCGCCCCGACCGCGTCCAATCCTGACAATGAACAGATGGAGAGGGAGGGTGAACGTCGGGAAGCGGAAGAGAGGCAGAGGGTTGAGAATGAGCGGCTTGAGAGGGAGAGGGAGATTGAGCGCGAAAGAGAGCTTCAACTTCAGCAGCAACCACAGAAAAAGGAGTCTCAAAGGAGAGGCGCTCTTACAAAGCCCCCCAGCGGATCGCAAGGAGCTCGAAGGGTTGCTGAAATGCCAATCAAGAGTCCTCAATACGAGATGCAGCATAGAGAAATGGAACAGCAGTACAATGGATCCAGTTACGGGTATAATTCCTCCTCTCCGACGCCACTTGGTGGCGGTCCACCAAGGATGCAGCGACAGTCAAGTCCACCAGTGCATGCGCCCCAGATTGTCCAGCCACAATCGACCAATTACATGTACCCCGGGTACTCAGGGCCTGGGGCAGCAGATCAACAGCAATTTCCACCTGACACCATGCAGCCTACGGAGTCATGGGCTTCGTCATCCACTTCTGGAGCTCCGCCCCTGTCGCGTACGCGATTAACTCCATCGCCCCCTCCTAGTCATACTCCAAGTAATACTTCTCAGCAAGCTCCTGCACGCCGTTCGCGGTCTCCACCAGCCCAAAACCATAACAGATACTCTGCGAATGTGTCACCCGCTGCCACTAGCCGTGTCCAAGCCACACGGGCCACAACACGCTCATTATCTGCCACTGCGACTACGGGTGCCGCTCCTCCAGCCCTCCCCGCTGAAGTAAAGACCAGGAAGGTGACCAGTGCTCATGCCGTTATGACAACGCCACACAACAGAAGACCAAGAGCACATGCAGAACCTCCACTTCCGTCCCGCACAGAGCGGGGCGAGGAAGAAGACGTCCCCCTAGCAGTGTGGCAACAACAACGCCGAAAGTGATTGCTGGCTGGTTAATGTGAGTGCAGGCCTCTTTGGTCGATACATGCTCTTTCACTGACGACATTATTAAGTTTTACCAAATTCACGTTTCTGCTCCCCACTTGCTAATTGCTTTTATATCACCCTGAGCTGGTAACCTGACAATGGTCTCAGACATCTAAGACCCATTACGTTCGGGATATTCTTGGGATAAGACATTCACCCATCGGACCTTTTTACCATACAGTACTACTGCTTTATTCCCCAGCATTACGTTGTATTTGCGTCGCTCAGCAGAAGCACCGCGGCATCTTCCTGCTTATACTTTCGTTGTATTCACAGTGGACTTGTAATCAAGGATCTATCAGAATCTGGACGTTAGTGGTTCTTTCTGACATCGCTTTTTTGGCGCAGGGAAGCTTTTCAATATCTTTCCCTGTGGGAAGATAGGAGAAGATCCATGTCGTCACTGTGTGTGGCTACTAGGGCAGGTGCTTGTTTAGAAAGTCTTGTTCTCTCCAGCAGGTTTCATTTTACCAAACATCTTCGTGAGACGGGCCGCCTGCCGACTGCTAACTCTATATAAATAGTGAGCCTGTGATATCGGACAGTTCATGGAGAATGCGTCATATCAGGTCGTTCACTTTCAGCATGGAGAGCTTCCTTCTGGTCCCGGGAGTTTGCTCAGATTTGCGACACGTTCCTGATCAATCCCATATCTTTTAAGTTGGAGCTGGTCTTTGAATGAAAAAAATAGATATGGAGTATAGACAAGGACAGAGGGGCGCAATTAGGGATCGCAGTGCATCAATTTTGCACTTTGCTTTGAATTTCCCTCGTTCATGAGTTACAGTCTCATGCCATGGAAGTATACCATTTCCATGGGGTAAATGAGATTAACAAGCAGCCAGTCCTCCCGCTTCGAATGTATCGTGTTGGAAGAAGGAAACCATTGCAGATCCTACCAATGTTTCCGTACTGTGAAGCAACACCCTCACGATCACATGTACGATAGCTTGAATGAAAAAACAAGAAGTTGTGATTCAATGTTTATCAAATGAACTAGACGGCATACTTGGACAAAATATCATAGATCTGAGGGGTATCTACGGAAGAATCTTGCGAGATACTGTTGTTTTGTGGAGCTCAGAACCGAGCTCCGTTCTTTCCAACAGTACTAGTACTCGACCCACGTTGAATCTCGGATCAGAAAGGTTTCTGATCCCGACCACCCCGAAGAGGTTATATCGATGTGGGCTGGCTGATTGGTGCGGACGACGCGAGGGGTAATTACACTGCTCATGGTATTGGCGGAGACGTCTTGATGTTTGTTTCTTAGGCGTTGTACGAATGAACCTCGGAGTGACTTTTCAAGCGAGACACGAGATGAATTATTCAATCAACGATGCTGGTTGCTAACCTCGAGGTGTGGTGCCACGAGGTTGAATGAAGATGTAAGAGGATCTTTGGGACTTGTTTGATCCTGTTGACTGAGTTTGTATTGGCACATAGAGAATGCACTAATGATCGTGATGTGGAGCAAATATTCGGATCATCGGCTGGGGACGGAAGAGTATTTGCTGTTGTGTACCGCGGTTCACGGATTTTGCCAATCAATTATGTACTTAATATCGTTTGTAGATGACATCAATTCAATAGTGGTAGTCAGAGTGAACGATTTTGAGACGATTCAGCGTGCGATTCAGAAAACGATTTCGGACGCTGATAATCAGATTTGACGTTGAATCGCGTTGAATCGTCGAAGCGCCTCCGGAGGCGCTTCACCCGATTCTGAATCGGATTTTGGACTG